TTTGGATCCTTCATGCTTATGTAAAAAGCCAAATGGTCAAATGCATGTCTGTAATCCAGTTCTGGGAGGCAGAGACAGGAGCCTGCCAGGGTCTGGCAGGCCAGACAGTCTAGCCAGTTCATGTTCTCCAAGTTCAATGTGAGCCCCTGTCTCAAAAATAAGGTGGAGAGGGGCTGGAGAGTTGGTTCAGCAGTTAAGAGCACTAGCTACTCTTCCAGAGGTCCTGAGTTCAATTTCCAGCAACCACATGGTGGCTCACAACCATCTATAGGGGATCTGATGCCTTCTTCTGACATTGAGGTGTATATGCAGATAGAACGCTCCTGTACCTCAAATAAATAAATAAATCTTTAAAAAAAATAAGGTGGAGAATGATTTTAAAAAAAAAACAAACAACAACAACAACAAAAAAAACAGCTCCTGATATCAACCTCTGGCCTCCACGTGCACCTGCACACATATATAAAAGTACAACACACACACACATACACACACACACACACACACACACACACACACACACACACACACACACACACCATGGGGGTATGAGATAAAGAAAATGAAAAGGGAGAATCAAACCTGTGTGCTTGCACATCTAGGGATCTACCCTGATCTTTCTGAGCCTCACTGTCTTCAGTGGAAAAATTTAAAATAATACTGAAAACACTATCATGAAAAATAGAATAAAATAGATGTTGTGTCACTTGTTACACAATAGACTTCCAATAAATTTAACTTCCTTTCCTCTTTCCTTCTTTCCCTTTTGAAAGTACTCGGGATATAAATTATACATAAACAAATTACATGTTCTGCTGAAAGTCTTCAGACATGATTAATGTAACCAATAATAGCGTTAATATTAATAGCGGGTTACTCCAGCAGCAGCATCCTGACTCTGACAATCAATCTGCACACCCCAGCCTTGTCGCCACATGACAGATAGCGCTCAAGGTTTACCCAGGGAACTGGGGAATGCACAAGCTTTCCCATTTTCTCATTTTAAAAAATATTCCTTCTTCACGTTAGGGTATTGTGGATAAGCCATTACTTACGGCACAAAGTGTAAGTAATGTATTTACCAAGAAATGAAAAACAGTGACGTGATAAGAAAACACTAAGAAGTTTCAAGTAATATCTGAGGTTGAAAGGTTTGGAACAATCGAGAATGTGCTGGAATACTGATGGCTGCTGCTCACTGCTTGTTGCATTATCTTTTCCTGGGAATTCATGAATGAGTGTTTGTTCCCTCCAGATAGGCTGCAACGAGGGACCAAAGTAACAACTGCTCCCAAGTCTAGCTCCGGGAACCAATGCGTTTGCTGAGCTTACTCACAGGCGCCTAAGTAGGAGCTGTTTGAAGGCAGTGGGTGGCCCCCAAACAGTTTCACCACTGGAAAGTCCCACCCCAGCATGAGTGGTGACTTCCCCCAAACTGCAAAGGTGGAGTCCCCCAAACTGCAAAGGTGGAGTCCCCCAAACTGCAAAGGTGGAGTCCTCCAAACTGCAAAAATGGAGTCCCCCAAACTGCAAAGGTGGAGTCCCTGCTTCAATTGCCTTTCCACCTCTCATAGACCTCCTAGACCATAGGCAGTTGGGGCAGAATTATAGGTAGGAGGTAGGGAGAGAATAGCTAGAATCTTAGGTGAGGATCTAGACCCTCCCCAAGCCCTTCTTCTATGAGGGCAGGTCAACAAGCCTGGTCTTGTCTTTTGTAGATAGTCATAGGCTCTCTGGATAAGATGGTAATGACTGTTACGCTTAAAAGGCAGTGGCCCAAAGAATGGATGTGACCTTAAAGGGGGCGCATATTATCTCCCCTATAGGAAAAGCAAACCAAAGCAAAGGGCTTAAAAGAAATATCTAGAAGATTCTGAGCCTAACTTCGACCTATCCGTTAAGATCTCCAATAGCCCACTTTCAGAACCTAACTGGGATGGAGGAAACTCTAAGTCTTCCAGCTCTCAGATCCTGTGAGTTTATTGTTTGGCGTTTCTTGAAAATTGAAAGAAAGGCAAACAGACTGGCCGTGAGGGCGGGGTCTGGAGCCAGGCTGCCTGGATTGGAATTTCTGTCCTTCCATTTGCTAACTGTTGCCCAGAGGAAGTTGCTTAACTTGCCTGTGCCTCAGTTCTCAGCTAGAAAGTAGGGCTCATAATAAAGATAAGCAGGAAAAGGTCTGCAAGGTCTGTTGTCCTGTTCTTGGCAGGCAATAGACAGAGGCATGCAGCAGGCTACTTCCTCGTCCCTGATTAACTGGAGCTCATGGGGAAATTCCTCCTGGCCCGGGGCTACAGCAGATCTTCCGAGTGCCAGATACTTGGACAGATCTCATCTTTGACTAAATTGTGTTCATTTCTAAGGTACAGTGAGATCTAGTTTGACTCAGGTCAAAACTGAAATTTCACATCCCCGATTCCTCACAATGCTCGTATTCGCTACCTTTACCCTCCATGTCAGCATGTGCGATTTCCCTTTCTTTTTTTTTTTTTTTTTTTTGGTTTTTCGAGACAGGGTCTCTCTGTGTAGCTTTGCGCCTTTCCTGGAACTCACTTGGTAGTCCAGGCTGGCCTCGAACTCATAGAGATCCGCCTGGCTCTGCCTCCCAGTGCTGGGATTAAAGGCGTGCGCCACCACCGCCCGGCTGCGATTTCCCTTTCTATCAAGCTGGGTGCAAGGATCCGCCTGCTCACAGGATAGAGGCTCAGGAGCAATCTGAGATCCCTGCAGGTGGGGGTGGGGTGAAGTAGTGCTACCTCATTCCCACAACTAGGTGTGGCCTGTGCCACATGTAGCTGATACCGTGGTTTAGGGGAAATGGAGAAAGGAAGAGGGGAATGGCGTGTAGGATCTTGCAAAGTGTTAAGTACCATATCAGGGTTTCAAATGGCCATTAGTCCTGGAGCTAACCCTGTCAGCCTTCCTTTTAAAGACAAAGAATACCTCAGACTTGTGGACCTTCTCAAGGCCAAGTGTTAGTGGGCAAACTCTGTTTAGCGTCTGCGCCATATGATAATTAACAGGGTGATAGATGGTTCCAAGCTTAATTCTCTTTTTGTCTGTTTACCTTGCGATGTTTTTATTATTTAGAATACCTAATACAATATAAATGATGGATAAATGCAGTGTTGAAGTAATGCCAAGAAAAGCGTTCAGACATGTTTAGTTTAGATGTAATCCCATTCCGCCCCACGCCCCCGACTCCCTTCCCATGGTACCCTCTGCCACTATAATTTCCCCTTCTCCTGTCATCTCCCGTATGCTCTCTTGACCTCACTGCAGTTAGAATATTTATCATCAAGAAAAAAAAATGAGTGGGGCTAGGGAGATGCCTTGGTAGTTAAAAGCACTTACTTTTGCAGAGGACCTGGGTTTGGTTCCCAGCACCCACGTGGGTGGCTCACAATGGTCTATAACTCCAGTCCCAGAGGATAAGAAAAACCTCAGCAGGTACTTCATACATGTACTGCACATAAATACATGGATGGAAAACATGCATAAAATGTTTATGTGTTTTTAATAAGTTTTTGTAAAATTATACAATATTTTGGTTTATTGAAACCAAAGTAGAAAAGGGCCCAAGGGATGGAGGAGGCCAAGCCTAATTCTTATGCCTCCTAGCAAAATAGTCCCCACCCTCGACAGCTACCAATGAGCGATTCCCAGTATACACTAGACTTACCACTCTAACTTGTCGAGGGCCAAACCAAAGCAGACCTCGAAGCCCCTCTAGATCTAGGCGGGCTGTTAAGAGACTCTGCCGCCCGGCCTACCCCTCTGCCATTGTGGGCTGCCCTGACGCCACTAGGGGGAGCCCTTGTGTTGGGAGCATAGGGAAATGAGAGGCCCAAAGGTTTCTGGGGTCCAGAGCTCTCTCTATGAATGTATACCTGGATAGACAGGACTACTAGAGTGCTAAGGGAAGGTCACAGAGGACCCTTGGTCTTGAGGAATGGGAGCAAAAGTGACTGTGAGCAAGGCTAAGGAAAACGAAAATCTTGCGTTTGTCACCTGTTTGGGGATAAGCAAGCACGTGGCTTCCTCACCTGCCCTCTATCTCGCTCCTGTCAGGACAGGGGACTCTTATTTTAAGAACTTGGTAGCTAGGCATGGTAATGCCTGCCTTTAATCCTATCACTAGGGAGGCAGGGGCAGGTGGATCTCTGTGAGTTCCAGACCAGCCTGGTCTACAGAGTGAGTTCCAGGACAGCCAGGGCTTTGTATAGAGACCCTATCTCAAAACAACAACAAAACCCTGATAATAGTAGTAGTAGTAGTAGTAGTAGTAGTAGTAATAGTAATAATAATAATAATAATAATAATAATAATAATAATAAAAATAGTTGGTTGGAACTCATTCCAAGTTATATAGTGAGTTGGAAGACAGTTTGAGTGTGAGACCCTGCATCAAACAATGAACAGATTTTTAGTTCCTAAAAAGCAAGAAAACCCAGCAGGCTGCATATAAATTAGGGCATAGGTCATACATCCTGCTCACCTCCAATTCTTATGACATACCCTGTCTGACTCCCCAACCCCCCTAATCTAGGAATGGGGTTTGGGTTTCCCACCAGGACCAGCTCTGCTAGGAAAAGAGCAAATGAATCAGAACACAACGTCATCTCCAAGTCAGCCAGAGCCTCTTGGCTTCAGCTTCCTACCAGCATCACTCTGGGCTAGTTAAGGCCATCTCTCTGAGCCCCAGTTCCTGCCTGGCTAAAATGAAGACAGCAGCACTTCCCGGGGGCACTATGTGTAAGGGTTAAAGGGGGGCATGCATTCAAATACAGTGACCGTACCTGTCTTCAAACAGGTGTAGTTATTTTAGCTTCGTCTCTCACCCCCATTAAACGCACCTGCCTGCTTACCCACACTTTGCACTTTCTTTTCTCTGACCCTGAGCAGCTTTTGTGAAATTAAGTAGCCATCAGCAGAGGCGGAGTTGGGCGAGGGTGTCACTAATGGAGACCAGTGTCCTGAGCCTTTCATTCTAACTTTAGGAACAAGATGCACTTGACTCTCAGCAACTCCCCCGGGTGGGATGTGGTGGGAGAGGACCGGACGCGGGCACAGAGTGAAACCCGTACAGAGGGAGTGATGGCACGGAGCCTGGGGAGCCGCAGACAGAGCCTTCTGCCCACACTCCACTTCCTGCCCCCACCGCAGCTGATCCAGCTGGGAGGATGGAGACCCGCCCAGCCCCAGGGAGGGAGGAGCCACAGGCCAGGTGGATCTGGCTAAGAGCCTGGGCTCCAGCGTGCCCCAGACGTGGGGAAGTGACTGCAAGCTGGCAGGCGAAGGTGAGAGCACTGTTGGCCCCAGGATCCAGCTCTGGGAAGCTGGGATTCTTTCCCAGACGCTGGCTCTGAGGAACACAATGGAAGAGGTAAGGCACCCACTTGGGTATGGGCTGTCTGCGTGTCACCTTGTGGACTTTAGTTCTTTCCAAAGGAGGGATCCCTGGGAAAAGAGCGGCCTGTGTGACCCAGCTCCTGGACCTGACCAAATGTGTCATGTGTCCTGCTATGAACCTGTCATGCTGGCCTTGCTCAGGTAGCCTGTGTCCTGTGTTTCTGCGACGCTCTCTCTAACCCAGGACCCGGGCATCTAGCCAGCTCTGAGGGTCACAGTTCGAGTGCTTGTCACTTTAGTGTTAACTTTCCCCCTCAGTTCTGCCTTTGCGATGGCAGGTGGGTGTCTAGGTCCAAGGACAGTGCGTGACTCTGGGAAAAGATGGCCTTGCGATGTCCCCTGTGGCTTGTGACTTTACATCACTGCTCCCTATTGACTCTGTGGACTGGGGCAAGAGTGCTTGTGCTCTTGAGCCCTAGGGCTCTCCTAAAACAGAATTGTACCAGAGTGGATGCTTTGTGAGAAGGGAGGTACATGAAGAAATAGAGCCCAGGCTTGTGATGGTGGCAGTTCAGAAGCGGAGGCAGGAGCATTGAAAGGCTAAAGCCAGTCTGAGCCACACGGGGAAACCTTGATCGTTTTTGTTTTTGTTTTTGACAAAAGCAACAGAAAGTTTTGAATGGCTGAAGGAATGCTGTTCACATAGTCACAGATTTTGCCCGGCTAACCCCATCCTCCCCTTTCCTTGTGGAGTTCTTGCTCTGCTGTTCTGTTAGTGGCTTTCTTTCCATAGATGCATATGCACATGTACCATGCCTAAGAAATCACTGTGTTGCTTCCTATCCAGATGTTTGGTTTACAATCAGGAAGGTGGATTGCTCCTGTATTGAAAGGGACACCTGTGTCTCTGGCTTCTCACTCCACCCAGGTGGTTGAGTTTTAGAAAAGAGGGAACCAAGGATGCCAGCCAGTTTGTTCTCCTTGTGAATTCCTTCTGCTAGCCCACGTGTGGTGCCACGATGTTTAGAAACTTATTCTTGGGGTGGGGGCGTGGGGGTCAGGGAGTTGTTTTTATTTTGTAAAAAGTCTTACTTTACAGCCCAGGCTGGCCTCAGCCTCTCAAATGCTTGGATGACAGGCATGTGCCACTGTGCCGGACTCTATTCATCAACTTTTGGGAGCCTCCTCCATGACGGCAACTTGCCAAGATGAACTGATCCACGTGGCTTCAGGCAAAGGAAAGGGACTGACATGCTGCCCTCTCCCTAGCCAGGATCTGCGCTGTCGACGAGTTCTGCTTATCAGTCTGACGGGGCAGAGACTGGAGGTCATTGGCCCTGGGGATTTTAGGTGAGGAAGCTGAAGGACAGAATATTACTGCTGCACAGTTAGGACACCACCGGTCAGAAGCAGGGCTGGGGCCTAGGCTCTGGTTCTTTAACGACAGCGACTGGGTGCCAGCTGTAAACCAGGCAGCACCAGCGGGGATTAATTACTCCAGCAGAACAGAGAGAAGGTTTGACAGCTTAGAGAAAAAAGTACAAAAGGGCATATTTGTCACCTAGTAACGTTTTACAGGACAAGAGAAGTGAGCACACATTTTCCTCCGATCAGAAAGACTAGCAGAAAGGACCCAAAAAGAAATATGGGAACTGGGTGGTGGTGGTACATGTCTTTAATTCCAGCACTCTGGAGGCAGAGACAGGCAGATCCCTGTGAGTTCAAGGCCAGCCTGGCCTACAGAGCCAGGAATAGCCAGGTAGACACAGAGAAACCCTGTCTACAAAACAAAAGAAAAAAAATATATGGATAGTTCCTCATCTTGAAAGGATTGTTCTTCTATTGTTTTAGAAAACCAACAAAACATTCCTTATATAATATATACATTTGGAGAACCTCCTTTGTATGGCCAACTTCCGTTTTGGGTGCATGGATACAGCTAGGAGCCAAACATTCAAAAATACCTGCTTTAGCCTGTCATGGTGGTACATGTGTGTAATTCCAGCACCTGGAAGGTTGAGGCAGGATCAAAAGTTTAAGGCCAGACTAGGCTGCAGAGTGGTACAAAATGCATTCATAAAGTTTATATGCTAATAAGAAAGGAGAAAGAGGGCTGGAGAGATGGCTCAGCCATTAAAGGCTAGGCTCACAACCAAAAATATAAGAAAGGAGAAAGAAACAAAAATATAAGGGGTAAACTGCAGCTGGTGCAATGTAGACATTCAAAGCGGAGAAGAAGGGTCTAAGGTCCTGAGGCAGCGGGGAGACTGCCATTTTAAGTGGCACAGTGTCAAAGGTCACTGTAAGGAGGGAATTGAACAGAAACCTAAGGAAGTGAGAGTTGTGTGGATGTTTCAGGGGGAACGAGTCTACCAAGAGGTACTAGCCGATGCTAAGACAAAAGCTGCTTTGGTGAACAGCAGCCAAGTGTAGACTAAATAGAGCAGAGGAAGTAAGGGGTGAATGTTCACATCATGAAGGCGTGGAACCCTCAGTAGAAACCAGCTTTCCCCAAGGATAGCTGGTAGCTGGATGGCACCACCTGACTTACATTTCCTAAGAATTGTGTGGCTGTGGTTTGGAAACTAGATGGCCAGAAGGGTGAGATCAGTAACTGCGCAGCCCGGTAGAGGGAAGGTGCTGGGATGGAAACAGGAGGAGAAGCGGCTCAGGCCAGACTTAGCAGGGATGGTGGTTATAGAAGTGTCAGATTCTGCGCCCCTGACTTTGGATGATCGAAGTAATGGTGTTTTGGCTTTATGATGTACAGAACTGGCACACATTTGGTAAAAACTACTCTGAGCTGCAAATTTTGATTTTTTTCCTGGGCTAGCCATGTGTGATGCTATACAAGTAAATGAATATGTGCTCTCTGTTGCTAAGTGCTGAAGTTTGGTAAATTGGATGTATTAACTGCATTTTTAACATAACTGCATTTTATGATATTTATGGTATTTTCAACTTAGCATGGGATTATCATGCCATTATCCTGCGATAAGTCAAGGTACATCTGTATACTAAAGGTAGAGTCAACTTGATATACTGATTAGAGAGGGAGGGAGGAAAGGAGAGGATGTTGAGGACCCAACGGCATGAAGGCTGAGCTTTCAGAAAGATGAAGCCAGAATTTTCTGAGATGACTTGATACTGAGCAGTTTAGAAAGACACCAGGAGTCAGTTTTAGACGTGGAATGATTGAAGGGCTAATTATACAGAGGAATACTCAGATTCAGAGCTCAAGGGGGAGGCTGAGGCAGGACAATAATCAGAACAATATCTACTAGAATAGTGCTGACAACCAGTAGGTGTTTAAGATTGCACAGAGTCATGCCGGGCAGTGGTGGCGCACGCCTTTAATCCCAGCACTCGGGAGGCAGAGGCAGGTGGATCTTTGTGAGTTCGAGGCCAGCCTGGTCTACATACCGAGATCCAGGAAAGGCGTAAAACTACACAGAGAAACCCTGTCTCGAAAAACAAAAAACAAAAACAAAAACCAAACAAACAAACAAGATTGCACAGAGTTAAAGCTGACCTCACATTCTCCGACATTCTTCTCAAGAGGGGAAAACATGCTCCCGATACTGAACCTGGGAAAAATTGCAGGCTGCCGTGAACACTGCGGGCTGCCACACTTGGTGCTGTGGGACTTCACAGACTCCTATGAGACCATGCTATTCACACCTTGTTCTGAGAACTAATTCTTGCAGCCCTCAGCCAGGTCAGTAGCCTCGGCACAGCTGAAGATAACCTCATGTAGACGCTGACAGTTCTGGCTGAGCCCACCTTGCCAGCCTGCCCACAAGAAAAGCCCCTTCTCTGAAAGCCCCACAGACCACAGCAGCACGAGGCAGACACCACAGAATGGCGTTCATCAACACTCTGTGGATGGAAATCTCACCCAGCTGGACCATGTCACTATTACCCTCTTACACAATTGGGAGATGCAGAGGAAGGTGGGGCTTCTGTTTGTCTTAGGCCACTCAATTTTCAGTTGTTTGGTTCTGCATTAGCAGATATCAGAAGAAATAAAAATTATTTTTATCTGGGCATGGTGGTACACACCTGTAATCACAACATTTGGAAAGCTGAGGCAGGAGGACTGTAAATTCAAGACCAGCCAGTACTACACAGTGAGATTCTGTCTTAAATAAAAATTAGGGATGAATATGTGCCACACACCTTTAATCCCAGCAATCTGGAGGCAGAGCTCATAGATGTCTGAGCTAAAGGCCAGCCTCATCTACATAGCAGTTCTAGATCATTCAAGGTTACATAATGAGACTCTGTCCTAAACAAACAACAGCAAAAAATATTCTTTCATACAGATATATGGTTCAAAAGAATTCTGTAAAAACGTATTTTGAGCTGGCTCAATTGTAAAATGCTTGTTATACAAGCATGAGAACCCAAGTTCAATCCACAGCACCCATGTCAAGAATGTCAGGTATTGTGATGTACACTTACAATCCCCAAACAAGAGAGGCAGAGACTAGAGGATTCCTGGGGCTTGATACACAGTACTCTGGCAGAATCAGTGAGCTCCAGGTTCAGTGAGAGAGCCTGCCTCAAAAAACAAGGTGGGCAGCTCCTCAAGAGCCACATCTGTGTTTGACTCCTGGTTTCCACGTGCATATGAATACATATACATATCCACACAAATATGCACACATCCATACGTTTTATACACACACACTCATGGGGGAGTACTTTTAGACCTTCATACTGAGAGGTTGGTAAATCCTTTTTGAAACTCAGAGTTAAGTGGTAACCCACCTGTGCCCTCGGCCAAGTGTGTTTTCACTTGGGTCCAGTCTTGGCAAGAGAGAATTGTAGCATTTTTGAGTTAGGGCTTACCATCACGGTGTCACCAAATGGGGACTGAATATTTGATGGATGAGCTTGGACCACATTTAGAATCAAACCCCATTTAAATTCACCTCTGCCCATTGGCAGCCAAGTGATTTGAGCAAGTGCCGGCGTTGGGAAATTTCTCAAAGTCCAACCAGTTTAACAACTCCCCATTTTACAAGGAAA